ATGATGATGATGATGATGATGATGATGATGATGATGATGATGATGATGATGATGATGATGATGATGATGATGATGATGATGATGATGATGATGCGGCGGAGGAGGAGGAGGAGATGAGGAGGAGGAGGAGGACGGAGGAGGAGAGGAGGTGGAGGAGAGGAGGAGGAGGAGGGGAGGGATGGAGGAGGAGGAGGAGGAGGAGGAGGAGGAGGAGGAGGAGGAAGAGGAGGAGGAGGAGGAGGTGGAGGAGGAGGAGGAGGAGGAGGAGTAAGAGGAGGAGAAGGAGGAGGAGGAGGAGGGAGGAGGAAGAGTGGAAGGGGGAGGAGGACAAGCTAGGTGCGCTCGCGTCATATCTGACATCCTACCCCTCGCTCCCATCCCTTACCATGGCGCAGATTCCCTCTCTACTCGCACAGTCGGATGTCAAGCAGGGCGATGATCCCGAAAGGGTACGCGATGCATTGTAGAGCACGGCATGGCATGGGGCATGGCGTAGAAGAGCACCGCGAAGCGTAGTATCAACCTAGCATTGCATTGCATGCCGTGGCATGGCACGGGAAATGACGCCAGCGCTGCAGCGGGAGCACGAGTCGAAACGAGCGGAAGCGCGGAAATGAGGCCAGCGCTGCAGCGGGAGCACGATTCGGAACGAGCGGAAGCACGGAAATGAGGCCAGCGCTGCAGCGAGAGCACGATTTGGAACGAGCGGGGCCCGAAAATGAGGCCGGCGCTGCAGCGAGAGCAGCATTTTGGGAAAAATTGCCGGCGAAAACCTAACTCCTGGGCGCCAGAAGCAGAAATTCAGCATTTTCAGAACAAAAATTTGTACTGGAATGGCCTTTCTTCGGCGCCGCCTCGGAACTCGATTTTCCGGCGCCAGCCGGAACCGGCTCCGGACCCGGCCCGGGCTCTGGCCTGGGCGCCGGCTCGGGCGTCTGGCCCGGGCGCCAGCTCGGGCGCCGGCCTGGGGCGTCGGAATCGGCCCGGGAGGCCTCCCGGGCGCCGGAAGCAGAAATTCAACATTTTCAGAATTACTCACTGCGTGGAGCTCCCCATATGTGCATCCTTTTTTAAAGGTAATATTGTATATGGGTCTACAGGAACACACGTAAAACACCAAGGACTCGTGCCCCAGGAGAGGCCCAATATATAGGAACAAAAGTAAAACAAGTAGGATTGCTTACACAGGAGAAGGACAATATATAGAAACATACGTAGAACATCAAAGAATCGTGCTCCAGGTGAGGCCCAATCGATAGGAGCATACGTAAAACACATGGGATTGGAGCCACTCCTGTTGCCTTCTGAGGCCTCCTGCTCCTGGGGCCTCTCGGGGCCTCCTGTTGCCTTCCGAGGCCTCCTGGCACTTCCTGTTGCCTCCTGGGGCCACCTGTGGTTTCCGGAGGCCTTCTGGAGCTTCCTGGGGCCTCCTGGAGCCTCTTGGGACATCCTGTGGCCTCTTGAATCTTTCTGTGGCCTCCTGATGCCTCCTGGGACCTCATGTGGTCTCCTGGGGCCTCCTGGAGCCTGTTGGAGCCTCCTGTGGCATCCTGAGAAGAATCTGCGCCCACGAGCCTGGCTTCTGGGCCGTCGTCGAGGCCCGCGACCCCAGAACTCCTGCACGCAATCCCAGGGCTCGTTCCACAAACGCGTCGGGGCCCTTTCCACAGGGCCCCTCACAGATGCGAAACCGATCGTCGCGCCCGGGCCGATACGCCGATATGCCGATGTAGCGAATCGGCGTTGTTGATCCGATATGCCGATACACCGTTCCAGGAATTCGGCTCGGGCAATCGGATACGCCGATAGGCCGATTTATGTTTTCGGTTCTCCCATGTCGATATGCCGATGCACCGATCCAGGAATTCGGCCTACCGAGCCGATACGCCGACAGGCCGATATGCCGAAGCTGCGGGGCGCCCGCAGCGATAGCCATATCGGCATGTCGGCATATCAGTTCCACGGGGCCGGTATATTGGATCGGTGTATCGGCGTATCGTGTTCCTCACGCCAGTATCCGATTTGGGTTTATTGGCATATCGGCTCGCACAAACCAGCGCGACGTAAACCGATGTATCGGCATATCGGTTCAGCAGCAAGAGCGGTTCCAGGTTGCGGTCGCCCTGGGAAATTGCGCATCCCATCTCGGATCCTCGATTCATAACGGGGTCCGCAGACCTCTCGTTTTCCTTCGGAACAGAAGGGAGCACGGCGTTTCGCGCCGAGTCCTCAGTGAATGGCGAGGTCTGGAGGCTCCACAAATTTGTAGAACATCGGCAGATGTTGATTCGTTGTATGCCGGCTCGAGGACGGCGCGTCCTGCGCGAAGACGGCGAGAGGATGGCTCGAGCGAAACGCTAGTTCTGCAAAGAACTGGAGGGGCTTCGGCACCCCCGGATGCCCAGGTAGCCTTGGGAGTGCAGAAGCGCGCGGAAGCACATAGGTCAAGGAGAGGAAAAAGCACACAGACACAATTAATCGTCGATCCCCCAGAAAATATGGGAAAATATGGGAAGTGGGGGGGAAGACAGAAACCCAGAAAATATGGGAAAATATGGGTGGGGGTAATGTTTACTTGTGTATATTTATTTGTGTGTCCCAGTTCCCCTTCATAGGTTCCTCACGCCCAAGAGCGGGACAGGCGTGAAAACACATACGGTGGAGGCGTTTGTTAAGGAACTGTCCCAGGAGGCGCCAGACCCTAGAGGATTCCTTGTCCAATGAGGGCGGCTGTGATGTCCACGGCCGATCCACGATTTGGGTTCCACTGGCTTCAAGACCCTCGATTCCTCATCTAGGGGTTCCTTATCCAATGCCCACACCGTAGTTCCTAACGCCTCAGAGCGGGACAAGCGTGACAACAGATGGGTTCCTAACGCTTCAGAGCGGGGCAAGCGTGAAAACATGTAGGTTCCTAGCGCCCCAGAGCGGGACAAGCGTGACAACACGTAGGTTCCTAACGCCCCAGAGCGGGACAAGCTTGAAAACATGTTGGTCCCTAGCGCCCCAGAGCGGGACAACCGTGAAAACACATTGCTCCCAGCGCCCCAGAGCGGGACAACCGTGAAAACACATGGTTCCCAACGCCCCAGAGCGGGGCAAGTGTGAAAACACGCGGGTTCCTCACGCTCAAGAGCGGGACAATAGTTAAGGACGTAGATTTCTAGCGCCCCAAGGCGGGCAAGCGTGAAAACATTTGGGTTCCTAACGCCCCGGAGCGGGACAAGCGGGAATACACATGGGGACAAGCGTGAAAGCAAGTGGGTTCCTAACGCCCCAGAGCGGGACAAGCGAGAAAACATATGGCTTGCTACGCCCCAGAGCGGGACAAGCGTGAAAACACATCGTTCCCAACGCCCCAGAGCGGCACAAGCGTGATAGCACGTGGGTTCCTAATTTCCCAGTGCGGGGCAAGCGTGAACACACATGATTCCTAACGCTTCAGAGCGGGACAAGCTAAAAGCACATGGGTTCCCAACGCTCCAGAGCGGGACAAGAGTGACAACACGTGGGTTCCTAACGCCCCAGAGCGGGACAGGCGCGAAAACACTTGGGTCCCTAACGCCCCAGGGCGGGACAAGCGTGAACACACGTGTGTTCCCAATTTCTCCCGGCGGGACAAGGGTGACCCCACGTGTGTTCCTAACGCCCCAGTGCGGGATAAGCGTGATAACACATGGTTCCCAACGCCCCAGAGCGGGAGAAGCATGAAAACACATGGGTTCCTCACGCCCCAGAGCAGGACAAGCGTGAAAACATATGGTTTTAACGACCCAGAACGGGACGCTGTATGCCCCTTCCCCCTCGGCGCGTCCCTTGGCTCGTCCTCTGTCGCGTTCCCTGGCTTGTCCCCTGGCGCTTTCCCTGCCCGTTCCGTGGCGCGTCCCTTGCCACGTCCCCTGGCACGTCCCCTGGCGCATCTCCAATGCGCTCCTGGCACATTCCGTGGCGCGTCTATGCGCCTTGCGCTCCGTGTTGTCTCGTCCCTCCTCAGAGCTCAGTCGGATCTTGAGCTCGAGCTGATTGAGCTTCCACCGGTATCGACTGCAGCCAGCTCTGGGCCAGCTATGCGCTCAGGCAGCTCAAGCTTGGGATCTAGATCAGTTTGGTCAGGAGTCGGATGCCACGGGAGACTTGATCAACACTATAGAGCACAATAGCGGCATAACATATCTCAGTATAGCACGGCACAGCACAGCACAACCCTTGGCCCGGTACATTACGATCGATACCTTGAGCATTGCAATTGCCTGTCGCCCAACCAGGTGTCTTGAAATCGTAGCCATGCCTTGCGTTTCTAAATTACTGTCTGGATTCGTGGGTGAATAATGTTTCGCAACGTCGGATCTCAGGGGCGAAGACCCAGACCCCCCCAGGTCATGCACAAACCATGACATTCTGGTTTTGGGCTATTTTCGACCTTTGGGAGCCTTTGCCAGCCCTCGGGACCATCAAGAAACGACTCGGGATGATCAACTGGTCCTGGGAAATGGGTCCAGGCCGCTGAGGGTCCACGTCATGAAAAGAAGCACGACGTTGGGGGCCTGGGGACGCGGAAAAGTCCCGTGACAGGCGGCTCGTCGCTGCCGGCCATCTGGCCGCAGCAGATGCCAGGGCCGTCGAGGACGGACACCTTCGGCATGCTCGACCAGGCGTCGCCGCAGCTCCCCGTCCGCGGGGGCCAAGGCTGAGGAGCGTCACCCCGAAGGCGATGGCCTACAGGCTTGCGGACGTGCCCCCCAGCGCCGAGGTCGACTACCCGTAAGGGTGGCCCTTCGCCAGAGTGATCTTTGGTGCGGGCCGATTGGGGTCCCCCGATCGTTGAATGCGAGGCGATAATTTGCAGTAGCCTGGGTGCTTGGGTTTGGCCACCTTGCGACCCCCCAAAGCCGCGCATCGATGGTCACTCTTGCCTACAACCCTCGACATAATTAATCTCAAAGGTGGTTGACGCGCCACTTCAATGTCGCCCCCTTTCGCCCATTCAAGGTCGCCCCCGTCAATGTCGGAGCAGGGCGAAACGCTGTGTGGCCCAGCGCTACTACGAAGTTCCGCGACGACCGACGTTGGAGCGTGGGCGCCAGTAAATATTTCGCACGCAGGGCCACCCGTACTCAGAACATCAAATATGCAGTACTAACACATGGCGCAGCGCACTTTTGAGGTTCATGTCGTCGAGGCTAGTCGGGTCACTCTTGCGTGCAGCCGACGAGGGCGGCTCCACGGTCATCACCCTCAGCACCGAGCCGAACACGGTGGGCACCTGCAGCCGCAGCGTCCCCAGCCCCGCCGGCAGCTCGCTGTCCGCCCGCAGCAGCCTGCTGGGCGCGGAGCGCGGCGGCGCGGCGCAGGGCGGGCTGCGGAGCAGCCTCGCGCCGGGACGCCGCGCCAACGGCAGCAGGCGCGCGTGCCGGGCCCAGGACTTCAGGGGCAACGATCGGGGAGGGACAGGCTCAGGGGGGAAGGCATCGACCTCCCGTCGCCCATGGATTGCCGAGAGGGGTCTGAGAGCCCCACCCCGCCCTGGAACGTGCGGATTCGCCAGCGGAGGCCGATCGCCGATCAATCGGCGATTGTGTCGCAGATTCCAGGTCGATGTCCCCCCCCTCCTGAGCCAGTCCCCCCGTATCGTTGCTTCTCAAGGACGCAGGCGTGGTGGACTGCTTCCTGGTGTTGGCGAAGGCAGCCGACGCGTCGGGCGAGTCCGTGATGCTGCTGCTGCGCACGCTGCGTTTTCTGCGTTCCTGCCAGTACTCTGAAGAGGACATTTGCCTGATGCTCGCGCACGCCAGTATTTATCCAGCTGCCTGCGGCAATGCCGCTGCCGTCGCAGCCCAGCATTTGGGGTTGTCACTCGTCGGAGGAGAGAGCCGTCATGATGTTGTTGTTGATGATGATGATGATGCTGATGATAATGATGATGATGATGATGATGATGATGATGATGATGATGATGATGATGATGGTGATGGTGATGGTGATGATGAAGATGAATATGATGATGATGATGCTGATGATGATCGTGATGATGCTGATGATGATGCTGATGCTTGTGGTGATGGTGATGATGATTGTGGTTATTGTGATGATGATGATGATGATGATGATGATTATGATGATGATTATGATTGCGGTGATGATGATGATGGTGATGGTGATGGTGATGTTGATGCTGCTGATGATCGTGATGATGGCACTGGTGAGTAAGGTTTATGAATATGTTGATGGTGACGGTGATGGTGATGGTGATGGTGATGACGACGATGGTGATGCTGATGATGGTGATGATGATGAATTTGATATGCAGAGGATGATGACGACGATGATGATGATGATGATTGTGGCGAGGAGGATGATGATGACGACGAGGATGATGATGATGGTGCTGCTGATGATGATGATGATCATGGCGATGATGCTGGTGATGATGCTGATACTGATGATGATGATGCTGACGATGCTGATGATGCTGATGATGATGGTGGTGCTGATGAGGATGTTGATGATTATGATGATGCTGATGATGATGTTAATGATGGTGTTGATGATTGTGAGTATGATTGTGATTATGATGATGGTGATGATGCTGCTGATGATGATCATGCTGCTGCTGATGATGATGACCATGATTATAATAATGATGATGATGCTGATCATGATGATGATGCTGATGATGATGATGATCAGGATGGTTACGAGGATTATGATGATGATGAGGAGGAGGAGGAGGAGCAGGAGCAGGGGGAAGAGGAGGAACGCCGTCACACTTGACACCTTACGTCTTCACTATTTGAGGCGCTCTCATGGAACTCATTTGGGACGTCTTGGGGCTGTCTTGGCCTCCTGTGCGGCCGTCTTGGGAGTCCCTTCGGGTCCTCTTGGGCCGTCTTGGAGCCGCCTTACGCCGTCTTGGGGTTCTCTTGGGCAGTCTTGGGGCCCTCTTGGCAGTATGGTGGGTGCCTGGGGGCCGTCGTGAGGCTGTCTTGGGCCGTCGAAAGACCTTCTAAGGCCGTCTTGGTGTCCCACGGGAGGCCCTCTTGGGGCCGTCTTGGATGCCTCTTGGGCCATCGTGAGTACTTTTGGGCCATCTTGGGGGTCTCTTGGGCCGTATTGGGCTGTCTTGAGCTGGCGGAAGCCCGAACATGCGACAATGCGAAAATCATTCAAACACCAAAGCGACATCATTTTTTAGTTTCTGAGGATCATGTTGGAGGTCCTCTTTTGTAGCCCGTTTGGGACCTCTTGGAGGCATCTTGGGCCGTCTTGTCTTGAAGCCATATTCAGCCGTCTTCGAGGAATCTGGGGCCATCTTGGTGTCGCTGGTTGCCTGCATGGGACGTCTTGGAAGCTCGGGACGCGGGTTCATCGTTTTTGACAGGGATCGTGGCCGCGGGAGCGCGGAATTATTTGTGCGAGGGATCGTTGCCTCGGGAGGGGGGACGGTGCATGCAAAGAGATGCTAGTAGGAGAGGGGCGTCCCGTATCAGGATACAGGAGCCCTACCAGACAGCCCTTGGCATTCTTCCACGCCTCAACATGCACACGTCACGGTGGCGGATTTCCCAGACACGTACGCGGCCACAGGGCCCAACATGACTTCGAACGAGATAGGTAACGTTTTAGTTACCCTCATCTTCCTGGCGCATTGCTGGGTCGAGGACGAGACTTGCCCCCTTCGGACTTGGCACCAACACCTTTTCGCGCAGTACTGCAGCCTGGGCACGCTCAGCTCGGCCGTCCTGCGCCTCATGGAGCTGCGCGGCTACATCCTGAGGGTGAGCAGCGAGGTGGCTGAGCGCCGAACGCATGCGCTCCTGGCCGCCAGCGAGGCCGCGGCGCGCGCCTGCACGCCCGTCCCGCGCCCGCTGCCGGCGCGCTCTGGCTACTTCGGCACGCACTCGCAGGGCAGCACGTTCCTGCGGCGCGGCCTGGAAACCATCCTGGACACCTGCGTGTCGCGGGCGAGGACCGACGACGGATGAAAGTTGTGGTGCCGAAAATATTTAGATTCACTCATTCATGTGCTACGATCATATTTAAATCGCTCCGTATAGTTGCTTTGCTTATGTCGCTCCTCGAGTACATGCCCGCCTTCTCCTCCTCCTCCTCCTCCTTTTCCTCCCTCCTCCTCCTTCCTCCTCCCCTCCCCCTCCACCCCGCGGCGGGGTACAGTTTTATTGCTCTGCTGGGTGCCGTATCCTGGTGCTCGGCCCTGCGCCGCGGAGACACTGTTACAGTCAACTGCTCGTTAAACGAACGGCGTTACGACCAGTGACAATCATGCTGGCTGCTTGCGCTCGTGTTTCTGCTCCTCGGCACCTTGCCAGGAGTCGTGTCGTTCAGCTCCGCCCGTGACACTGGTGCCATGCTCCGCGCTTGATACTTTCAGGCACGGGCATTGTACATTTGGTTGAGAGGCGGGGCCATGTGGGTCATGAGTCCCATGGAGCCTTTGTGCCCGTTCGCCCTGGGATACCAACCCAATTGCACATGCCAGTCGATTGGGCGGGGATGATGGTAGGGAAGGGCCTTCGCGGTGACGAGGTGCACCGACCGTTTCCCACACGAACGATGCCATCTCTTTTGGGCGGCGAGTCCTTGCCTATCCCTTGCCCTGGGGTGGGACCAGAGCGTAGAACGCTGTATGTTATTAGGCCAATCGTGGGGGTCGACTTGGGCCCCTCCGAGCGTCTCCGACGTGCCCCCTCGCCTCCCCCTCGCCTCCCCCTCGCCTCCCCCCCCGCCCATCGCGGGTGGCTGCGAGATGCTGTCAGTGGCCTGTCAGTGGCCTAGCTGTCAGCGGGCTGTCAGTGGTCCGTCAGTGAGCTGTCAGTGGTCTGTCAGTGGCCTGTCAGCGAGCTGGCAGTGAACTGGCAGTGAACTGTCAGTGGACTGTCAGTGGCCTATCCGTGGCCTGTCGGTGGTCTGTCAGTGGTCTCTCAGCGGTCTGTCAGCGGTCGGTCAGTGGGCTGTCAGTTGTCTGTCACTGTCTGTCCGAAGCCTGTGAGTGGTCTGTGAGTGGTCTGTGAGTGGTCTGTCAGTTGCCTGTCAGTGGTCTGTCAGTGGTCTGTAAGTGGCCTGTCCGTGGTTTGGCCGTGGTCTGGCCGTGACCTGTCAGTGGTCTGTCAGTGGTCTGTCAGTGTCTGTCAGTGTCTGTCAGTGTCTTTCAGTGTCTGTCAGTGTCTGTCAGGGGGGGGGTCAAAGTACGAGGCATGCGTGGGACCACAACGTACTTCGACCCGTCCCACTGACAGACCACTGACAGACCACTGACAGACACTGACAGACACTGACAGACCGTTGGCAAACCACTTCCAGACCACTGACAGTCCTCTGACAGATCACTGACAGACCACTGACAGACCACTGACGGATTACTGACAGCCGCCTGACAGCCCACAGACCGACCCTTGACAGACTTCCCACAGAGCACTGGCAGACGACGGACAGCTCTGACCGACGCCGAGGGTTGGCATCGCGTTCGAGCGCGTGACCCGGTGCTCGAACGGTGCCCGTCCTGCGAAGCCACATCGAACACAACGGGATGTGTGTGTGTGTGCCATGGGTAATGTGTAAATGGTGTGACGATGGATGCGAGGTGTGGGTTTTTTCCCGGAGAGGGCTCCGGCCCAGGGTTCTCTTTAGGGTTTAGGGTTTAGGGTTTAGGGTTTAGGGTCTAACAGGGCAAGGCCAGGAATACCTACCTGCATAGGCATTCACCTGCGGTGGCTATCAATCCCCCCCGCATCTCCACCCCCACATAAAGATCATCTCTCCTCTCATGTTATACCGTGGTTGTAGCATAGCATAGCATACCATAGCAAGCCTGGGAGCAAGCGCTTAGCAAAGAGGCGGCGGCCGCGCGCGCGCGCGGAGACCCTAACGGGCGGGTCGGGTCGGGTCGGGCGGGCGGACCCTAACGGGCGGGTCGGGTCAGGTCGGGCGGACCCTAACGGGCGGGTTGGGTCGGGAGGGCGGGACATTCAAGTATGGTGCGTGTACACTTGACACGCGTGAACCCTAACAAGCGGGTCGGGTCGGGCGGGCGGACCCTAACGGGCGGGTCGGGTCGGGTCGGGCGGACCCTAGCGGGCGGGTCGGGTCGGGCGGGCGGGGCATTAAAGTATGGTGCGTGTGCACTTGACACGCGTGAACCCTGACGGGCGGGTCGGATCGGGTCGGGTGGGCGGACCCTAACGGGGCGGTCGGGTCGGGTCGGGCGGACCCTAACGGGCGGGTCGGGTCGGGCGGGCGGGACATTAAAGTATGGTGCGTATGCACTTGACACGCGTGAACCCTAACAAGCGGGTCGGTTCGGGTCGGGCGGACTCTAGGGTTCGCCCGACCTCAACGCGCTTTGCTATGCAACGCCTCTCGTATGCTATGCCAGCATAACATAGATTAGCACAAAGGCGAGTTCCACAACATCTGGATAACCGCAGCCTCTAGCGTGGCTGTCGCATAGCACCACTGCTGAAAGAAAACATCACAATTTCCAAAGGAGTTGGCCATGATCGCGCGGCCGCCGCGCGCTTGTGCACTTTGTCGTATTTTTCGCAATGGAATAGTACCATGCACACATCTTGCAAAAACAGAATCTTCAGTTTATAATATGTTTTACAATATAAAACTCCGGTACGCATACGGGGCCGCCGCGCGCGTGTGCACTTTGTCGTATTTTTTGCAATGGAATATGAGCATGGACACATCTTGCAAGAGCAGGATTTGAGTTTATAGTGTTTTTTCCCATATAAAACTCCGGTACGCATCCCGGCCCGCGACCCGGGTTGGGCACGAAACGTATGAAAAAACATAGGATTCTGATAAATTCGATGCGCATGATCAGGATATACTGTTTTTTGACAGGGATCAGCCGGGCCCGCGGATAGACCCGGTCACGATCCATTGTAAAAAACATCGTTTTCAGAGCGCATGATCAGGAAATGGTGTTTTTTGCATAGGATGGAGGCCGGTTTGCATAGCGGCCGGTTTTGCAGCATTTAGGGTTTATTAATAATAGAGATTATAGAGATTTAGGGTTTAGGGTTTAGGGCTCCGGCCCAGGGCTCCAGCCCAGTTGGTTTACCTTCGGTTTTGACTTGAGGGAGGCCGGCGGAGTTCCGCTCGATAGGAAACGCGATCAAGTCCAATTCGGCATGCAAAGGATGCGTTTCGCGCGTGCCCGCTCGAGGAAAGTCGACCCCCCACCTCGGATCCTTAATACATAACGGGGTCCGCAGACCCCCGTTGTCCTCGATTTAAAAGTAAGTGAAGTCGAATTCGGCGCGGAAAGTGCGTTTCGTGCGTGCCCGCTCGAGAGAAGTCGACCCCCCATCTCGGATCCTCGGTAAATGACAGGGTCCGCGGGCCCCCGTTTTCTTTAATAAAAATCCAGGTGAAATTTTGCGTGCCCGCTCGAGGATGATGCGCCCCCCGCGCCAAAAAATCTAGGATGTCTCGAGCGAAACGCTTGTTTTGCAAAACTTGAAAGACCTGGGCGCCCCAGCATGCCCCAGGAGGCCCTGGGAGCGCAGACGCGGCGTAATCTACGGGAGATCGTGGCGTGGAGCGCGGACCACGCGTAATTTGCAAGGGATCGTGGCCCTCTGAGCGCGGGCGCAGCGTAATTTACGAGGGGTCGGGGCCTTGGGGCTCGGACGCAATGTAATTTTCTATGGATCGTAGCCCTTGGAGCGCGGGCGCAGCGTAAAATACAATGGATCGGGGCCCTGGGGGCTCGGACGCAGTGTAATTTACGAGGGGTCGTGGCCCTGGGAGCGCGGACGCAGCGTAATTTACAAGGGGTCGGGGCCCTGGGAGCGCGACCTCAATGTAATTTACGAGGGATCGTGGCCCTGGGAGCGCGGACGCAGCGTAATTTACAAGGGGTCGGGGCCCTGGGAGCGCGACCTCAATGTAATGTACGAGGGATCGCGGCAGTGGGAGCGCGGACCCTGCGTAATTTGCAAGGGCCACGCACTTTCACGTTCCGTAGCGCGTCCCCTCGGCACGTCCCGCGGTGCGTCCCCGTGGCACGTCCCTTGGCACGTCGCCTGGCGCGTCCCTTGGGACGTTCCGCGGCGCGTCCTCCTGGCATGTCCCCCTGTCAATTAGCTCTGGGGCAGCTATTCTGTGCTGAGGCAGCTCGAGCTTAAGATCCAGATCAGTTTGGTCAGGACTCGGATGCAAAGGAGGACTCGATCAGCAACGCTATAGAGCACAATCGCGGCATGGCACATCGCAGTTCAGCACGGCGCAGCACAGCACAGCCCTCGGCGCGGTACAGCAAGATCGATACACTCAGCATTGCAACCTGGCACATTCCGTTGCGAGTCCCCCTGGCACGTCGCGCGGCGCGTCCCCTGGCACGTCCCGTGGCACGTCCATTGGCACGTTCCGTAGCGCGTCTCCTCGGCACGTCCCGCGGTGCGTCCCCGTGGCACGTCCCTTGGCACGTCGCCTGGCGCGTCCCTTGGGACGTTCCGCGGCGCGACCTCCTGGCATGTTCCCCTGTTAATTAGCTCTGGGGCAGCTACTATGTGCTGAGGCAGCTCGAGCTTAAGATCCATATCAGTTCGGTCAGGACTCGGATGCAAAGGAGGACTCGATCAGCAACGCTATAGAGCACAATCGCGGCATGGCACATCGCAGTTCAGCACGGCGCAGCACAGCACAGCCCTCGGCACGGTACATCAAGATCGGCACACTCAGCATTGCAACCTGGCACGTTCCGTGGCGCGTCCCGTGGCGAGTCCCCCTGGCACGTCGCGCGGCGCGTCCCCTGGCACGTCCCGTGGCACGTCCATTGGCACGTTCCGTAGCGCGTCCCCTCGGCACGTCCCGCGGTGCGTCCCCGTGGCGCGTCCCTTGGCACGTCGCTTGGCGCGTCCCTTGGGACGTTCCGCGGCGCGACCTCCTGGCATGTCCCCCTGTCAATTAGCCCTGGGGCAGCTACTATGTGCTGAGGCAGCTCGAGCTCAAGATCCAGATCAGTTTGGTCAGGACTCGGATGCCAGGGAGGACTCGATCCACAACGCTGTATAGAGCACAATCGCGGCATGGCACATCGCAGTTCAGCGCGGCGCTGCACAGCACAGCCCTCAGCACCGTACATCGAGATCGATGCACTCAGCACTGCGTTTGCCCGTCGCCCAACCAGGTGTCTTTGAAACGCTGTCATGCCTTACATTTCTAGGTTCCTTTCCGGGTTCGTGGGTCGATCATGTTCTGCCTCACCCGCCCGCCCTTGGGGTTCAACGCCCAGGCTGGCCTGTTCGGGGACAGCGCGCGTCACCGCCTGCACCCCCCACGCGGGGTGTTAGCGGGACGGCAGCCCTGGCTCGGTCGCCGCACCCATCGTTGGGGCGTTGCGCCCGAGGTCGGGTACACGAGATAGGTCCGCCGTGATTTGGGCCAGGGGGTGGTGGTGGTGGTGGTGAGGGTTCAGGGTGCTCTGGGGACGGGTCACCGAGGAGCGCCCCGGAGCGTTCCCGGGGGAGCCCGGCCCCGGGGGCGACTCTGGGTGGGCCCTGGTCTGAAGCTGGGCCTGTTGCTCTGCAGGGGGAATATCCAAAGACAGTCAAAAAATGGTCGGGGGATTGTTTTTCGAGTATTTGCCATTCTGGGGCATTGTCTGGCTACTTTCATTTTTCATCGAGCATCCCCGTGTAGTCGGAATTCCCAGAAAGGGCGGCCCAGGGTTCTTTTAGTAGGTTTACCCCTGGTTTTGACGGCTGTAGGGCCGGCGAATTTCTTTTGCGATAAATAACGAGGTCGCGTAGGGCCGGCGAATTAAGATTTGAGGATGTCTCGAGCGAAGCGCTTG